TTGAAAATTTTCTTATCTTAGATTTAAATTTGAAAATTATAATTTTTAATAAATATAATATAAAATGCATTAAATTAGAGGATGTACCGGTCATTGTTCTTAAATTAAATTAAATTAAATTAATGAAACGTGCTGAATTGGAAGAAGTATATATTTAACATCCATTGCTTACAAACAATTAAGTTATTAAAACCCTTTAAAATTTAATTATTTGGAAAACCTTTCTTTTTGTTTAATTTCACGCATTAATTAGAGCTTACTTTTTTTTCCCCAACGTTAGAGATTACATGTTTTGGTGGGAAAAAAAAACAAGCTTCTCTACCGAAAGCAGATATATTACGAGGGTGTCTGGCAAAGTTTAAAACACTTATTTTAAAGGTAATTTTTGTTTTTTTTATAAAAATTGTTAATGATCAAAGTAATTTAATAATAATTTTTTCATTGAAAGTAAGAGATCCTAAGTTTAAGTTACATGACATGTAAATGGGGTGAGATACAAAATGAGAGATGATTGCCTCCAATTGTATAACTAAGATCAAAATTTTTTTTTTCATAAATTTTAAATTTTGTTGGAGGAAAATTTAAAAATTGAGTTTTAAGCAAATTTCAAAAAAAAAAAAAACCTAAAAAGCATTTGAAATTTATTTTTTCAAAACTTAAAATCTACTTTAAAACTCAATTTTAAAATTTTCTTCTAACAAAATTTATAAAAAATTTATTTTTAAAACATATTTTTTAAGTTTTGCTAATCACCCTGAGAAGCTAACAATACTAACTTTATCATTTATTTGTTATAATATTGAGTTGTAGTGTAAAGACTATAGGAAAAACTATAAAGCATTCTTGATTAAAAGGGTGAAGTACTTATTGTTTAGCACCAAACACCGCCTTCTAATTTCGTTTTATTTAATAGTATCATAAATTGTTAATGTTGATTAGTTGTTATTATGTATCAAAGTGGATTGTTAGTGAATCAGTCCTTCTGAATATAATATTGGCAGGTAACTCGCTTGAAATGTGGTGGTTTCATCTTTGCCATCCGCCTCAACCATACCATGAGTGATGCTTCTGGTCTAGTGCAGTTCCTAACGGCTGTGAGTGAGATGGCCCATGGTGAAAGTGTCCCTTCAGTCATGCCCTTTTGGGAAAGGCATCTCTTTAATGCGCGGTACCCTCCACGTGTGACCTGCACACACCATGAGTACGAGGGGGCAGCTAACACAGAGGGCACCATCAGCCCACTTCATGACATAGTCCAGCGTTCTTTCTTCTTCGGCCCCTCTGAAATATCAACCATTCGTAGTTTCCTTCCCCACAGCCTTCGTCAATCTTCTACTTTCGAAGTGTTGACTGCGTTCTTGTGGCGATTCCGCACCATAGCTTTAGACATAGATCCCAATAAAGAGATGCGAGCCATATCCCTTGTCAATTCCCGTTCGAAGTTCAATCCTCCTATATCCATGGGATTTTACGGGAATGGATTTGCTCTTTCAACGGCTCTAACAACTGCTGGGAAGCTTTGTCAAAACCCATTGGCGTATGCATTGGAATTAGTGAAGCAGGCAAAGGCAGACATAACAGAGGAGTACATGAAATCAGTGGCGGACTTGATGGTGATTAGGGGTCGACCCCTGTTCATTATGGATGGAACATTTTTGGTATCTGATGTAACACGAGCTGGGTTTATAGATGTGGACTTTGGATGGGGCAAGGCAGTATATGCTGGAGTGGCAGCAATTGGAGGTAAACTGATGCCTTGGGTTATAAGTTTTTTTATGCGGTTCAAGAACAAGAAAGGAGAGGAGGGGATTGTGGTGCCCATTTGCTTGCCAACTCTAGCTATGGACAAGTTTGTGATGCTGCTTGATAACATGTTGAAAGAGCAGCCTCTTAGGAGTAATAGTAGGCTGTAGAAGAGTTAAGTTTGTGTTAACGTATGAGATCAAGCCTATTAACTAGTTATGTTAGTTCTTGTGTAGTGGCCAGTTGCAGTTACTTTATTTTGCTTAGTGGTGTAGCAGTTCATGTTGGTAGTTCATAACTTCTTTGTTTTCAGTGATTGTCATATATAAGTTTTTGGTTTTTTTCTAGAACCAATATGTATGTTTGATGCTGTGATTTTTTGATATATCAAAACATATATAAACTCATGTATTTCATTTATCAAGTTTAATTTTTGAGTTTATGTTCACTTCATGTTCATTTTCACTTAAGTTTCATCTTTACATCTTCAAATTGGTAAAAGAGCAAATGGTGTAGCATAACTAGTGGTAATTTTAGTTGGGACCGATGGAGATGAGAGAGAGAGGTAGAGAGAGAGTGAGAGGGGGAAGAGATGGACACAAGCCACGAACAGGACGGACAACACTGGGTCGTGAGCATGCAGGATCTCGCGGAAGAAGCCAGCAGCGGAGGTTTCAGCAAGTGGGACAGAGGCAAATGGGTCAGAGGTAGATGAAGGATGATTAGTTCCAGAATCGAAGCAAACAAAAAGGTGGCTCGTATGATTGGGGGTTGTATAAACAAGCCACGCCTTACTTCTTCACCAATTTTCTAGAGGACTGGAGCTATGCGGAGATGTGGTGAACGTTCCTGAAATTTGGCAGGGTATACGCCATTTATAATCCTAACAGGAAAAGCAGGAATGGAACCAAGTTTAGGTTTGTGAGATTCTTGGATGTCAAGAACACGAGGGAGCTAGAAAAGAATCTGGATCATATATGGATAAGAGGCAGGAAATTATGGGTGAATCTCCCAAGATATGAAGAAGGGAAGATTGAAAAAATGGGGAGTAGGTATCGTCAAATTGCAGAACCAATAACCCAACAGAGAAGTTATGCCGAGGTGGTGAAGGGCCAAACAGAGAAGAAACAAATGGAGGAAGGAAGAACACGTTTCAGAAAACAAGAAGAAAAGAGACCGAGGAGGAACACAAGCAGAAACTGTTCCAATTAGCGAAGTGTAGAAAATAGGACAGTTTGGCAAGAAAAAGGAATGGGAGAAAGCTGGGCGGGCTTAGAATATAATGCCAAACTGGAAGATTATGTATAAACTAACATTATAATTATATTGCCAACAAGAGTTTGCGGAGTTGATATCTACTTAATAGCTTTAATTTGGAATCAAGATTAGAGATTTAAATTTCTATATTACCAAGCAATTAATTCTTTTATTGGACAAAAAAAATTACAATTATATAATTTTCGTTTAATTAATCTGTATTAATTAATTAACCACATAGATATGAATTAATTCATAACAAAAACTGAAACA